AATGCTTAGTTGTTGTTGTTGTTGTTGTTGTTGTTTGTTGTTGTTTTGTTTGTTTGTTTTTGTTTGTTGTTGTTTGTTTATTGGGGGGGGGGGGTATTGTTATTAATTTGATAAGTTGGTTGGCATTTAAATGTATCTTTTAATTTGCTTGCTGTTTGTGTTTGTTGCATTGTTAGGGGTGGGAGCGATCTGTTTTGTGATTGTTGTTTGTTTGTTTGTTTGGGTTTGTTTTGTTTTGTTTTGTTTTGTTTGGGGGGGTTACTGGGGAGGGGGCTCCGCAGTCGTTTACTGTTAACAAGTAATATGATATTTAAAAGAGGCAACAGAAAAGACAGAATTATTCCAGGGAACGTCAAAATTTCAAATTTCATAAATCTTCCAACTTCGAACGTACATGTTTCTTTAAGAAAATAAAGCGATTTAACTCTAAAAATTAAATCGTCTTCCTCTTTTTCTCGGTGCCAAATTACATTTACGCAAGTACTCTATCCTGAGGCAAGAACTATCGAGCTAGTATATATGAAAATGCCACGTACAGGTGGCCGGCTTCCCTTCAACGACATATTATATTCTTCGGAGTGTCCCCTCAAACACCTTCAAACGAATCGAACAGCAGCCTCTGCAACGGCTCCGTCTCCCACATCTCACAACCAATAATTGTATCAGGGAAACAAACAAGCTCTAACAGCCTCATTGTTCTTTAAATTGTTGTTTGATTATTATTTCTCTTAATTTATTCTCTCGTATTGTTAAATTCTCTCATTGCGGGTGGTTGGCGGGTGCTCTGATTAGTGTGGTTCGCTCCTTCTGTCCTATCAAAGATTGTTCGTTCTTATCTCTTCTCCTTTTTGTGTTCGTTGCTCTCTTGTATCACCTCAAATCTTCGGCACTTACGTGACTGGATTGTGTTACAAAAGCCGTAAAACGCTTACTAAAACTAAAAATCTCACATTACAAGAACAATATACGCTTAATCTCGTTTTTCCATTAAGTACAAAAGCGTCATTTGAAAGGAATGGGCGGAGAACAAAACCAAAAAAAAAACAACCACACACACACAAAAAACCCATCTCCCCCACTCCCTAAAAAACAAACAAAACAATTCAATATCAAGTACGTATGCACTCTGTTATGACATGGCACTTTTTTCGACATTCCACGCATCAAATAAGACTCAGGTTGTTTTTTTTTCGTGCGTGTGTGTGCGTGCGTGTGTGTGTGTGTGTGTGTGTGTGTGTATGTGCGTGCGTGCGTGCGTGCGTGCGTGCGTGTGCGTGCGTGTGTGTGAGTGCGTGTGTGTGGTGGGGGTTTTTTTTCTTCAATATACAGTTATGTTTTTGCCAACAGTCATTGCCCACTTACACAACCCGCCTCATCTTACCCCCGATCAAACAGACAGACATACAGACAGACACAACCCGCCTCATCTTACCCCCGATCAAACAAACAGACAGACAGACACGACCCGCGGGGAAAAACAACGACCTCAGTAGTATTATTGCACACACACACGATCAACCGTCTTACTCGAGGGACAAGAGAGGAGTAGGATTGATTTCTCTTCCGCACTGTCCTTCCCTCCAATCCGAACTTATACAATGTAAAGAGATAATGGTCGCCGCGTGCTTCCTCTTTCTTTTGCTCTCCTTTCCCCGATATTCCTGCGATCCCGACTCGCTTTATCCACGGCTCAGATTCTCACCTCATTATCATATATGTGAGGCATCGTGGCGAAATCAGGCACTCGTCATGATAATGTAATCGAAAAAAAAAAACCGACATTTTTCCGCCGATTTTAGCAATTTTTATCCAATTTTTGCTTTGAGGCTCAACACTTTGTATGTCAATTTTAGAGCACACTTCTGTGAAGATTTTACTGAAAAATGTTGGCTAAAGGCACAAACAACTGTAACTTTTCAATTTCCAAGGACTTTCAATCTATGGAAGTCATTAAACTTTGGAGGCCATTTTCTCGATAAATTTAATAGATAGCATTTGTATAGTGCATATCACCGCTCAACAGCAGGCTTTATGAGCTTTTCACTATATTGTTACCCCAGCAGACCATAGAACACTCCGACACATTCTCAGCTTCCCGGGAAGCATACAGTGCAAGCAGCTGATTAAGCGCTCAAACACTAACACACTGACAAGATCTTTCGCTGTCTATAGCTGGGTACCCATTCCCACATGGGTGAAGTGAGGAAAATTCGTGTAAAGTGCCTTTCCCAAGGACACAACGTTGGGCCCTTGACGGGATTCGAACCTACGACCTTACGGTTGCGAGTCCGAGAGCCTAACCACTAGGCCACCGAAACCAGACGACCTCCACCTCCTTCAATCGTAAAACTCTCGACCTCTACTCAAGATAGATTGGGTTGCTTTTTTTTCTCTTCAAAAGCAAGACTATTGAAAAAGCTTTAAGGAGATAGCAACAACTCCACACGCCCTAAAATTGACGAGCGCCTGATTCCACAGCGTCGAGATACACACGGTTTTCTAGCTACTACAGTACGTATTAGTGGTAGTCAATGGAAACACTTGACGTAGGTAAATGATCGAGATATCCGGTAAAAGAGTCGGCTTACCTTTCGCTACGTAAAGGTTATTCAACGGTCAGATTTTTCTCTTCTTTCCCCTAAGGTTAAATACACCGACAAACCTTAGCCACGTTGATGAAGAGTCCAGAAAATCGTTTAAACAAGTCGCGTTGCAGATTCGAACCACAGTCGCATGCATTACAACTGAGCACGGGACCGTAGTGGCTAACGTTGTGTTTGAATAGAACCTTTAAGATTTTGGTTAACTTTCTAGCTATGTTAGCTGAAAGGTGGGGGGGGGGGATAATTTTGTTTGTCGTTTCTTTCTTTTTTCTTCTAAAGTCACGTAGACAGTACCAATAACTTTTACGAAAGAAATGGGAAGGACAACGGAAAAAAGAAAGGAACATGGTTGAAGAAAGGGTGCGAGTGGAATGTACGGCTTGTTGGGTCTTGACATATGATCATAAAGCAGCATACATGATACAGCTTTGCCTGAGCGGTAGACATTAAGAAAGTAGAATGCCAAGAGGATCTACTTCATATCTTGACATCCTTAATGTGCTACAAAAGAGAGACACGGTCAATACGTTTGGAACCAAGGAAGGTTAAAGGGATGTCGAACTGTTCTTCTTTCTGTGGGTGTGACAGGGGTGATTCTTTCATATTAAAAATTAGGAATGACAAAAGGGGGGGGGGGATATCGGAGACTTGGAGGTGGAAGAGGACTAAAAGTATCATGGAAGGAGAGACAGATATAGGGCAAAGGAGGTGGGAAGGGTTTGCGATGCGAAGAAACGAGGGAGGAAGTAAGAAGTAGAAGGGAAATAATAATGATAGTGACACAAAAAGTGAATGGGGGGGGGGTAAGGGGGTATTGAAGGAGGGAGAAGGGACAGGATGTATAATGATATGGAAGGGATGGTGAAGGAGGTGAGAAAAAGAGAGAGGGAGGGGGGGGGGAGAAAGAAAGAAAGGAATGGGCGTGAAGGACGAACAGAGGGGAAAAGAGGGATGAAAGAGAAAAAGAGAGAGAAAAAAGAGTGAAAGGGTACGGAAAGATGAGCTGAAAAGGGAGGAGCAAGTAAGAATATCTTTGAAAAAAATAAGTCAATTCAGGATCTTCGGCAGTCTGCTCGGGTGTTGAATCCCTGGATTGGTCCTGACAGACAGAATTGAAGCAGTCCACCTCCCAAAATGGTCTGATTTGGGTAGACGGGGGGCTTAAAACACAATCACGATTACAGAATTACATTACGATCACAATTACACAATAAGAAACGAGAAAGATATGTCAAGGGACCCCACCTGCTTGAAAGGTCTGGTCTTGGTGGTCATGATGTAGTCGAAATTGCACAGCTCGCAGGCCTTCTTGTCCGAGCTCTTGATCCATTTCTGCAGACAGCCCAGGTGCACGAACTTGAGGCTGCCGGAGCAGAGGCACGGCGATACCAGCCTGGAAGACGAGGTGGAGGGTAGCGGGTTTTGTAATGTTTTATTTAATTTAAGTTAGGTTGTTTGATTGTTTGTTTGGTTGGTTAGTTGTTCTTGTTTTGTTTTTTCGTTGTTGTTTTTTGTTGTTGCTTTTTTGCTTTTGTTTTAGAAAGAATTTTACGGCACTTACAACACAAGTACGTCACACAAGTGATGAAGATTGGAGGTGTTACAAGAGAGTAACAAACACAAAAAAGAAGGAGGAGAGATTAGGACGGTAGACGTTTGGTAGGAAAGAAGGAGCATATCACATCAGAACACCCACCACCCACCCACTTTCTAGATTAAGTAAGAGGAGAGCACAGGAAAAAGATCAAGAGGAAGACCAGAGAGCATGTACGTGGCAAGGTGATACCAGAGAGCAGACGACAGCAAACTGGACGCGGAAACCAGCTGATAAAACAGAATGGAGGACGTTGTTGGGGGGCTACATCCTGTTGCAGATGGACAACGACTAAAAATAAACAAAGAAAGAAAGAAAGAAGGAAGGAAGAAAGAAAGAAAGAAAGAAAGAAGGAAGGAAGGAAGAAAGAAAAAAAGAAAGAAAGAAAGAGGCTCTCGGCGTTTACAACCCAATTAAGTCATACTAGTACCAAAGGTTTAAGGTGCTACTAGAGAATGGCACACAACGGAAAGAAAAGGTCGACAGATGTTTGAGAGAAAAATAAAGGAGAAAACCATACCAAAACACCCATCAACCACCCATCGACTGTGGCTGACGTGGGTTTTTTTAGTAAAAGTTTTAGGACACTTACAACACAATTAAGTCATAAAAGCTCCGAAGATTAGAGGTGTTACAAGAGGGTAACGAACACACAAAATTAGAAGGAAAAATCAGGCAGGGCGATAGCATGTTTGATCAGAAAATAAAGGAGAAAAACAACACCGGAGCACCCGCCAACCACCCACGCTGACGTGGGCGAAAGGTTGAAGCGCGCTGAAGTGAATAACCTCCTCCTAGACCTATCGGCATGTCACCTCACAAACGACGCCAATATCGGGATGACATAACAAGCGTGTCATTTTATAGATGTTTCAGGACAGCAGTTTATGAATATTGCTTCAGGGTAATAAAATTGCGAAGAATATCAATCCTCAGAAAAATATAAATAGAAAGAAGGGAGGGGGGGGGGAGGGGACCGAGCCATTAATACTTTCTAAATGGAGTTACCAGGAAGCCACGTTCACTTGCTATTTTAGCCTTTTACCTCGCTTTTTTTCCAAATCAGTTTTCAGTGATGCATCCCGTAACTGTGATTTATTTAAAAATGAGTAGCGGATAGACGATTCGCCGTTGCACGCAGAAAACCTGAGTTCAATTCCTTTTTTATCGAGTACCTCAGTTTTTCTACTATGGCGATGAATCCTTCTCAGTCCGGGTTAGTCCTTACAGGCAGGGTAGAAGCCTGCTTCTTAAATTGTCGAAATTGTGACTGTGTGGATGTAAAAACACGTACATTAAAACCCAAATATTCATCTCAGAGACAATTGAATAAGGAAAATAGATATTCGCCAGGACAGAAGAAGGAGTAAACCATACCAGAGAGCCCGCCATCCACTTACATTTAAGATACTATTGAACAATATTATGTGAGGAATCGTGGTGGGACTGGGCGCTCGACAAAATAATGTAATCAAGAAAACCGGCATTTTTCTGGCCGGTGGTCAGGGTTTTTTGTATGGTTTTTTTTTCTAATTTCTTTTCTTTTTCTTTTTTTTTTTTTTTTTTTTTTTGCTTAATAACTTCTAGACCTATGTCTATTTAAGAACATACTATTTATGAGTGGATTTTACAGACAAACGATGATCAAAGGAACAAAAAATGTAAATTTACAATTTCCAAGGACACTCCAGCTTTGGATGTCACCAAACTTCGGCAGCCATTTTTCGTTAATATTTACATCTGACACCAGGCAACCCCAATCTTCTTCATGCCGCAAATATCTTGACTTCTATCCAGGATAGATGAGTATTTGTTTTTGCCAAACGCAAAACAGGTGAACAAGCTTTAAGTTGATACTATCAACTCCATATTTGCCTAAAAACTGACGAGCGCCTGATTCCATTGCGACGTGACACATATTATTATAGAGACAGTGAGTCCGTACTTGTTGTTTTCCTCGCTCTCGCAGTGGCAGATCCTGCAGATGTCCGTGCGCTCTGAGAGGCCGGACAGCTGGGAGTCGCATCGCTCTGTGGGCGGCACGCTCCCGGCCGGGGGTTCGCTCTTCTGCAGAATTTTCTGGAAACGAGAGA